ATTATACATTTCTCTCAGGGAGAGAATGAAAGAATTCTAATAGCGATCAGAAATATTTGATAAATGCAAATTGGTACTCAGGGTTTCATTGGAATTTGGTCGGACAGGCGTTGGACTGGATGAATCTAAATAGCAAGGAGTTTGCCTGGTGTTTCTTACTTAAAGCCTCTTTCTACATATTTTTGTCTATACGATATAATAAAAATTGCGACATTGGTTCTGTTGTCTTGCGATGCCTTAGCGACATATGGAGAAGGTACGGATCCTACATAATTTTGCCAGATCTAGTGCTTGTACAAAGGAAGTCGAACAAATTTAAATTATACATCGTTTCGACTAGTGACGTATAGAACTCCCTTAACATCTTTGGATAACAATTGGAGATGATTATATTTCGAATTCTTCATTTAGTTCCTAAAGGTGCACCCAAAGTAAAAGTGAATATACTTAGTAGTACAAGGTTGAATGTATCATGGGAGCCACTGACTAAAAAGGAGTCTCGTGGTGTGGTGGTACAATATAAATTGCAGTACAGAGTACATGATCATCCTTCATCTCGGGTTCTTCATTTACCAGCTACCATCGAATCCTACGAACTTTCTGGTATGCGTGCTTTGTATTTCATTACTTTGGAATGGTGAGCTGATTGTAAGTATTTGAAAATTGTTTTATATATCCGTGTACTTAAAGATTTGATACCCGGGGCACAATACGATTTACGAGTGCTAGCGAAAACAAAGCAAGGTTGGCCTAATGTGAGTGAATCACAATTAGAATGGACTACCCTGACCTTGCCATCTGCCGACCCTAATCAATTTGTTATAAAAAATGTCGTGGATGTACAAGTGTTGATAGTAAACGCTTCAGTTGTAAAGGTTGGTATATTTCTCTTGTTTCCTTCAAACGAATCCACTTGCGCTACTAAAATTTCGTTTCAGGTAAAATGGCAAATAAATGTTAAAGAAAATGACATAATTAGAACAGACTTCGATCGTTGGCAAATTTATTGTGAAAATCAAAATGGACATAAATTATTAACTATTTTTCTACCAAAAAATGTTACCGAATATGTATTTACCAATCTTGGTAAGTATACAGCATTGTACCTTCGTATTCTTTTATTATAAAAATAATTAAAGATGTATGTTTATCTTTACTTAGATGTAAATGTTTCTTATACAATCGGTTTATGTATGATAAAGTCTGATGAAACAACAGGTTGTTTAACGAAACAAATAGAACCTATTCAACCTGATTCGAGTAAGTTTATCACGAATGTCTAAACTTTATTAAAATTTGAATATAATATTTCTCGTTAACTGTTTTGTTTGTTAATCAGAAAATGTAGCAATGGGATTGGAAGCGATTCCTGTCTCACCTACTGCCATAAATGTGACATGGTCTTTGAATGCTGTACACGAAATGAACTCTTTCCAATTATGCTATCACGCGCTTCATATCGTGAATCAAGACGGTCCTAAATGTTTCTTAGTGTACGTAGTACAAATTATAATTCTTCAGTATATAATGACTCGAATTAATATTCGGATAATCAGCTAAATTCGTATTAAATCTCTGAGAATAATAAGCCAACAAAAATTTACGGAATATTCCTTATTAGAGACTATTTAAATAATGAACTGTAACAAAATATTTGAAACTTTATACATGCATATAACTTAAATCTATAAACGAGACGTTTCAAAATCAATTTTATTGGAAATTCTAATATAAATTTTTTCTTTTTTCCTCGAGATTTTGACGAATATAATTTTTGTTCAATATATACACGTAATAAATCAGATCTCCTAACATTCCATAGGAAATCAAATTGTTTCATCCAATATTAAAAAAATTCTATTTCGGTGTGTCCGAATGTTAATGGAAGTCACTGTGATTAAACTTTAATTATTTTATTATTTTTGTAATATCTTATTCTTGTAATATCCGACATATTTCACTTTTTAGAAATGATACCACGGCGTATATCGATAAACTTAAACCGTTCACGCTATACCAATTCAAAGTGAAAGCTATCAAGAATAACACAAACCAAAGCAGCTTTTACAGTGAATCTGTAGAATGTTATACAAACGAAGACAGTGAGTAAAGGAATACGTTGCGATTGAAAGAAATTAAAAGATATGTCGTTCATTTAATAACTAATTTCAGTTCCGGGAAAGGTAGAAGAAGTCCAATGGTTTTTAGTGAATAATACTAAAGTACGAATCGCGTGGAAGGAACCGAGCAACGTAAATGGTGTAATACAAAATTATGTTGTCATATATACGATGGATTTGATGGATTCCGCTACAACGTGGAAAAATGTTACGGTGCCTGGTAACAAGACGTCGGCTACTTTGCCTAGTTTAACGCCAGGAAAGCCATATTTCGTGATGGTACAGGCTACGACAAAAGCCGGTTATGGCAAACCATCGGATCCTATAATTACAATCACTGGTGGCGGTCCACCGAAGGTACCGAATCCACCGGACGAACAAAAGCCGCCGCAACATACCAAACCAGATCAAAGTCTTGGTATGTGAGATTTACCTGAGTTAATAGAGGAGGCGGCAAAATGTAACATACAATTCAACTGTATTTAATTTTACACCAGGTGTGATTCTTGGCGTGAGCATAAGCATTGGATTCATTACAATCTGCCTGTGCAGTATGTATTGTCGAAGGAAATGTGAAAGTGCTCGCATTCTCAGAGAACACGCGCAGACTACGAAAGGTCGTTCGTTACGAAATGGGAATAAATGTTGCACGGAACAATCGTCTACGTCAGTGAGTCAGCAAACGAGTGTGAGGGTGACTAATGAAATCGAGCTAGCTGTTCTCTGCCCTGCGTCTCCCATCTCGACTAATCCGCATTCGGACACGAAAGTATGTATACAGGGTGTTCCAGAAAAAGTGTTAGAGCCGAAGAGAGGGGATTCGGTAAGTGTTTCTGAACAATAATTTTCTTTGCCAAAATGCGAAGTGAGGCATGGTTTTTGAATTATTTACGAAAAACACTGACCAATAAGAGCGTGTGTAGTGCCCGCGCTATGCAACAGCCGTGCGTCACGATCCGAGCCAACCTACCTGTGGCTGGGCACGGACCCTACGCGTGCTCTCATTGGTCAGTGTTTTTCGATAATAATTCAAAAACCATGGCTCACTTTGCATTTTACCAAAGTAAATTTTTGTTCAGAAACACCTCCAAAATCACTCCTTTTCGACTCTAACACTTTTTCTGGGACACCCTGTATAAAAATATGCTAGCATGTAGGGGATGTGCCCGAATTAAACGATCAAACTGCATCAACATGTTCTATGAATAAAAATAAGCAAAAAATGTTATATACACATTGGCCTGCAAATGTTTTATAAAAAAGTTCTGATAAAAATCGATAGCGAGTTCGCTGTTGGTACAGCTAGTAACAACGAAATTGAGCCAGCTAAGCTAGTAACAACGAGATTGAGCCAGCTAAGCTAGTAATAACGAGATTGAGCCAGCTACGTGCATGTGTTAGTCTCCACTAGGGGGACAAAATTCAAAACGAATAAGAAGTCAACATCTTATTTTTTCGATACTCGATCTCGCATTGATATTGTTGGATTTTAACATAATTTTGACGCGTCAAAATAAAAATAATGTTAACGTACGCACATTACCACCACCTACATTAAAATTCTTTTTATTTTGACGCGTCAAAATTATAATAAAACCCAACATTACCGATGTCAGATCAAGCATCGAAAAAATAAGATGTATACTTATTACTTGTTTTCAATTTTGTTCCCCTAGGGGAAACTAACACACGCACGTAGCTGGCTCAATTTCGTTGTTACTAGCTGTATATCAGAATGTAACAATAAGTCGACGATATTTATGAAATCTGCTCCTTCTAGCCACGTTTACTATTTGAAGATAATTTTGTTGTTAAATGAATCGGGAAGCGGGTTCAAAGCGGGAAGAAAAGAATGTATCTTGCCTCTATGACATCCGTCTAGTTTGTAACTTCAATAAATAGATGATCATGAGGATAAATTTTTGCAGGGCGGGAAATCGAACGGAATCGTCGAGGCTTGTGCGAAGGAGCCGTTGCTGCCGTCTTGGGAAGTGAACGGTGAACCAAAAGATATTCAAACGGCGAAAAATTCTCAAGCGTATAAAACGATGGAGAGCGTCGTCTCGAGCACGGAAAAAGAAGAGCCGGAGTCAGATCTAGATGGGACGCAGTTGACTGTAGTCAATTGTACTTTAGGCGACAGCAGCAGCAGTTTAAATAACAATTGCGGGTGTCCCGACGGAGACACGCCTCTGCCAAAATCGATGTGTATACCTGTTCCGGCGCTCGGACCAAACGGATGAACTGAACAACACTGGACGACAGAATTTCTCATGTGTTCACGTTCTCCTCCCATGTTTACGTCGCAACAGGTAGGATGCAAAAGTTTTCATACAACTCGCGTTTCACTCCGAACGTGTATACATACAAATGTACATAGCCACGTGTGTGTACATATACAAATTAAAAACGGACGGAGTTCTCAAGGAAATTAGAAGCAATGCACGTTACTACATTTTCCAATTTTAACATAACAAGAAGTAACTTGTAAGTGAAAAATACTAATTACGTACAGAATTAACGTAAGTAATAGTTTTGTCGAAAGTGCATCGGAGTTGCACGTTCTTATTATCTGTACATAACGTTTGAAGTACGAGTTATTACTATTGACAACACAGTATTCCCACGCGCCAGCAGTTCGGCAAGGAATTCAGTCATTGTCATACTTGATTCTATGCGAGATAATACTGTGGCACAGAACCCATGCAAACGATACTTAATACAGTACTGCATTAGATAGCTTGCTCGTGTCGTCTGTGGACAGAGACATGACGACTATCGTAAGGCAGAAGAACGTAAAGCTAAAAATTAAGCAAGTAATAACCAGAGATAGTAAAAATATTCTTAACATATTCATAAAATATCGCATACATAGAAAATAGTGAAAAAGTAATAAATGCATTCCTTCACCGAACGGAACAGAAAATTTTTAAATATCCAAGTTACGAGGATATGGCCTAATTTATTTCACGATATATATTGCTTACGAAAAGGGCAATAGTACTGATCATTCCATTCCATGTTTTCTATTAACTAAATTTAAATTAACAAGATTTCTAGATTCTAAGGAATTAAGAAAAATACTAATCAGATTTTACGTAATGAAAATATAGACTAAGCTTTCCTTTTATTGCGAACTTTATAACTTTTAGGTAGCATTACAAGTTTTTGATGAACATTTATTCTACGATGAAAATAGGGGATGTCGTCGAACATTCTTTAAAAGAATAATCGAAATAACAGGACCTTTTTTGTATATCATGTTTTATAAATTTGTATTATACACAACTGAAACATACGAAGAATAGGAATACGGAGAATAGGAAAAGTTACAAATTGTCTCGTGTAGGATGACGTTTCGAAAGGGTCGAGAAAATTGTAAAACATGTATAAATTCTATGAATTATGTGAATTTAACGATTGGATGTACATAGTCTATACACTTTTTCCTGTTCGCGCAATGAAGATAAATCTTACATTGTACAAGATATTTAAAGTTAACTACATCATACAAAAGCAAAAAAGAAGACAAAAAAAAGAGAAATGTGAAAGAGACAAACATATTCCAGACTGGTGCATGTTACCATGACAGAAAGGAAAAACCCAACACAGTACCTGATAGAATAAGCTATATCTTTTAGAGAGTGAGACGTAGATATGTCGTGTTATTATTGTACCTCCATTGTTATTTATTACATTTCACGTTCAGTACTATTTTAAATGATCACATTACACCGACTCTTATGCAATAACATAGTCACTACGTGCACGGTATACATAGGTCATGTAAAAAAAATAGGATTAATCGAATCTGCACACGCTAGAGATTTTTACCATATATTTATTACATAGATTCTTACATCTTTTTATCGAGATAATTTGTTAATCATATAATTTACAGTCATCCACGGAAATATGTACTGCCTTATATCAACGCGATGTTACTACTGATACAGACTTTTTTTAAGATGCCTATTTCGTTGAAGAAAAGATTCCATACGCATATAATTCATGCAGTGATTCCCACTGACATTCAGACATACTTCAATATGGAATAACTGTTTTAATATTCGACCAAACAACTTAATTTTCTGCGTGATGTCAGAAAGCTTAGTTTACTTACAGAATTTACTATAATTCTACCTTCATCGGCCAAAGAATAGGACTTGAATATATTTAATCATTCAATCCTCTAGACCTTCATACATTTCATTACCCATGAATCTTCCATTCCTCTAAAACTTATTAAACTGTAGATAAAATGAACTAAACACAAAACAAGAATAAAATAATATATTTTATCTTCGTTTGATATACAATCA